CTTTGTGATACCATTGTAGAAAGATGACCCTTAGTTTGTGAATCATATATTCATTGTGCAATGATGAAATATGCATGTGCACCTATACATACCTGCAGATATGTCATGAATGTAACCGATAAAAGATTAACGCATCATTAACAATGTATTTTATATATACTTTTGATATTCAACAAATATTACATTCACCGCAAATACAAGGGAGCCTCGCTGGTTATTTTTACGTGTTACTTCATTTCCCTCCACAAGACTAACGCACAACTACTACATTGCATTGACAAAACACAAACGATTGAATTTGCGAATAGTTTACGCGCGAGGGGATGAGATGCGCCAGTATTCGTGAGATCACGGTTTTCGTTTTCCCCCAGCCGTGAGTACTTTATTGTTTAAAAGACATCGTGGCGGGAATCGCGGGAGTTGATCGAGAGAAGCGTCTCCACTCTCCGGGCGTCTGCCAGACACGGGTTGCCTGCAGCGGTATAAAATTGTATCTGTGCTTTATGGCTTTTTATTCCTATGTGATTGCTTCTGTAACCTCGCGTAGGGGTGAAAGCCATGGAACACGGTGCAAATTCTCTATCCCGAGACCCGCAACAAGAGGAATTACGGCAATAAGTGAAGACAATGGGGGAGGGGGGGCCTCTGATGAAGTTTATCCAGATGACCGGATACGGATAATGAGGGTGAAGATCAGTAGCGGCTGTGTTAAAACTGATTGTGTCATCTTTGTGGAGGGAGTATCAGAGGGGGGGTGTGGTTGTGTGTATGGGAGGGCATCGCATCGTATGTACCTTGAACTTCTTTCGCACCGTACGTAGCCGGCGGTGGTAATCATCGCATCTGCACGCTGGAGCGCACAGTGGCGCAGAAGTAAATCCCAAACTGGATGAGCGTTCCCCCCCTCCCCCAGCTTGTAACAAAGGAGCCACATTGGCAGCTTTGCGAGTGATTTTAACTCAGTAATCCCCCCCCCCCCCATTTTGTGCAAGAGCGCTTAAGCGTGGTCACCACATCTACGCCTCTATATAAGGAACGAAACAGGTGGACTTCTCCACGAATCTGGCTGTCACCTGATGAAGCCAGTTGTAATCACTGGCGAAACGTCGTACTCAGATGGTAAATGTTGTGGCTTGGCTATCCAACACAGCGGTGTGCTGTACTAGTGACGAATTGGCCACGTTCTGTTTTACGTGACAACCCTTACTAGTTGGCTGTGTCGGGTGGTGGCGGGTTTTAACGACACATATATTTACGCGATCTAACCCTAAAAAAACCTCTATTATGTTTGCGAGTGATGTCGGACCGCTGGAACTTCGAACTTTGCGAACAATGGCAGTGCGGCTGCACATTGCCGCCGAGGCAAACGCCCCTAAAGCTTCGACTTATCTCTCTTGCATTGAGTATTGTTACTGCCGACAGACATTACCTGGAATTCGAAATGCCACTCGTGTCGCTAATTCCCATCTGTTTCTGTCGGTGGGACATCTCTGTGGTCTAAATTTCCGCAAGGTTACAGCCATGGATCATCGTGACGCGATGACGGTTATGGTAACGATGCAACGGGAGACCTCCAGGACTTGGAGCCGTGTTTACTCACGATTAGAATTGTAATAATCGTGCTAATGGTGCATTTCTTCATAATGTGAAACTTGGTCCATTACACTTATCGGATAGTCAATGAAGCCTGTTCAAATCAGAAACTGGCAGCCTATTCCAGTCTTAATGAATGGAATCCTAATGAAGGACGCAGTCTGCCCCAGTCCTGCGGTGGGCCACACATCGGCAAGCCGCATCGTATTTAGGAGGCAACATTAGAACCACGGTTTCAGCCGCTTCGCAGACATCGGGCATCACTCGGTACAAGATCCAGTCCACTGCGTGTTGATGCAAAAAAAAAATTAACGAGCGGCCATAATTCATCGTCGCTGAATCTCGCTCTGCCTCCTTGTAAAAAAAAAAGGCTGTTTGCAGCTAAATGGGGTTGGGTCGTATAAAGATATTCCATGAATAAGTGAAAAGTGCTCAGAGGTTGCACACTCATCCCAAAAGTCTACGTGCGGCTCTTTTGAAATACAATCCTTTTCGCTGCATTGATTTGTGAAAATGTAATGCGCGCAAGGCACCAGTATAGCATACACACACGCACGCGTGCGTTTTCAATACCTCTCAATAAATAAGCCAGTTCGAATTCAGTGCTTTTGTCTTGTTTGTAAAAAAAAATATATAAGTTTGCTGTTGGTCCTGATGGCCCTGTCGTAGGAATGTGAATTATTTTTCCACACTGGCTCAAGAGTTTTCAAAAGAGAGAGGGACCATGCAATGCTATTTTTTCTTAGGAGTGACTGACTTTTGAAAAGAAAATAACCTTTGTTGCTCAATTCACCATCAGCAAGAGCAACTTCCTACTCAGACCTCTTCATTGCACCGATCTCATTTATCACGTCATCGTAATTGTGCTCTATCCATTACTTGCATTGCCATTTATTCCAAGATTTCTGCACAGAGCAATTGCCAAATGTTTAGAACTCATTTGTAGAAGGGAAACTTGTACCTTCGTAGTTTTTTTGCTATTTATATTCTCCCATCGCTCAGTCTCATCTGCAGTGTGTAACTAGCCGTGTGACTTGCCGTAGCTGAGTGCGGAATGCTGACTTGCCCCTTTTCAGCTCAAGCTCTCGTAAAGTTATTTCACTTTTCGAATGTGATGAAGAAAAGGAATCTGCAAATTAATGAGTATAGTGTTGGGAGTGTTTTTATATATATAAAGTTACCGAATGAAATTACTTTGGATTTAGTTAATCCACTCTTTAATATGTTAAGGTGAAGTAAAATAAAGTGTAACTTTTCTGCAATGCATTTGCTTGCCAAGAGTGTCATTTGTGTTGCATGCACACAAGGATACAATTGCAATGAGTCCAGGACATTGTTCAAAAATTATTTGCAAATAGATTTATATGTATATACACACAAACAGAAAGGTACATATTTCGCTAAGTTAAATTAGTTAACCTGCAGACTCAGCAATGTTGGTGAACATTGCAGGGGCAACGGGATCATGGCTTTATTTTCAAGCGAAATATTTAACTTCCAGATATTACCACTAGATGGCATATGTATAATATGATCAAATATGGAAAGGCCCTTGCACAGCTACATATAAGAAGAACAGCAAGCTACCTGTCTTTTTAACTCTAAGGGTTTACAGGCAAATAAAGTTTATCAAGGAATAAAGCCGAAATATGTTGATAACTATGACATATGTTGACAACGATGAGTAGAACTGTTGCATTGAGTCAAAAATGCATTGCTTTGCACATTGATCTGGCCGATTGGCAAATGGACATCTATGACCTGAAAATGACTTTTACATTCAACAGGACCGCACTCTTTCTTCGCAAAATTTGTCAATGATTATTGAATTAACTCATCTCACACTTACACATAAATGTTCTGATATGTGATTCATTCCTCATAGCCTGTTGTCCAAAATCAACCCCTCTTAACACAAGTGATGTCCTTAAACAATCAACTGGCTTAACACTTCCATTGTCATCACACTCCCGCATTCTTTTGTAAATCTCAAACATGTTGCACATGAGATTTAAGTAGATCATTCCCCATTATGCGATATTTTATCAAAATAGCACTGACAATATGTTTATGGAACTATGAAAACAATTTTTACTGATTTAAGCATTCCAGTATGTGCAAGATCCCTGTCATTTAAGAGAATAAGGTCACATGAATTCGGCAGTATTTGTCATGGCAAAAATCATTGACTAACATCGGTGGCATTCATGTATTCATACACATATGGAGATAGTTGCGATTGAAAACTGTTTTGCATGCACTTCACAGACAGAATTCACGCATGTTAAACATGTCTGGCCATTTCTTAAATGCCTCCAATGTTTTTTTGTTGCCTTTCAAACCGTTTGCAGGAACTCACGTCTTAACGTGTAGACCGCCTGGCCTTGTTTGATCGAGCACTATTGACCGAGGCAATCTACGTTGTCGAGCCTCTTGCAGCAGGCATCCCGGTAGTATTTATGTAATGGGCCCCATTCTGCTGATGAGACGCACAACGTCGGAGTCGCTCCAGGAGTTGTCTGATTAAATGAACGCTGCTGCAGAACAAGACCGCAATCGGCGCATTCAGAAACAGGTCGCTTTGGTTGTAGATTTTGCTTTCGGTGAAACATTTTTTTTTACAGACTACCATAACCTATTGTCGTCCCATACTTTGCAATTTCAAAGAAATCAAATGTCAAAATATACCACGAGACTTCACCAAACCCGCACTGACCAACGTGGTGAGCCGTGGCCAAACGACCCTCGTGACTGACACAGCATGGGCTTTCATCCAGGAGTGGAATGACGAGGGGCTGTAAATTATTATTACATTGTACTACCAGACTCATGAATAAAACACAGTATAGTAGTCAGCTCCCAACATGCTACCGTTATCAGTTTTACCTTCATTAATCCGGCCCCATTTATTATGTTTTTGTAATGCATAAAACAATAATTGTCTGAAAACATTCATATATAGAGGACTGCAGAGCATGGGCAATTCATTGTTGGTGGCTCCAGCTCACCGCCAGGCTGCCCTGCAGATTTCCTTTGCTTCCTCAGCGATTGTGTGATGCAATTTGCATGAACGACGCACGGACCAGAGTGACGCACGGATCAATGTGACGCACGGATGAATGTGATGCACGGATCAATGTGACGCACAGATCAATGTGATGCACGGATCAATGTGACGCACAGATTAATGTGATGCACGGATCACAATGTGACGCACGGCCCAATGTGATGCACGGATTAATGTGACGCACAGATCAATGTGATGCACGGATCACAATGTGACGCACGGCCCAATGTGATGCACGGATCAATGTGACGCACAGATCAATGTGATGCACGGATCACAATGTGACGCACGGCCCAATGTGCGTGAGCTTTACTGACCCCGTGGTTCGTGCTGCTTGCAGGTGGAGCGGGCCATGAAGGCCTCGCTGCAGGAGGTGATGGCCCAGGCAGTGGCCGCGTATCCCGTGTCTCCACGAGCCCAGTGGGTGCTGAGCTGGCCTGGCCAGGTGGTGCTGGCGGGAAGCTGCATCCACTGGACCTCCGATGTCTCCGAGGTACAGCAGAGGCAGCGTGTGCAGAAGCGGAATGTGCGTGCGTTTGACACAGTCGGCGTGGGAATACTGTGTGGCAATTTGGGGTTGTTTCTGCTGCAGCAGTCTGGTGGTGTTTTTGCTGTTGTTGTTGTCGGGTCGTACCGCGTGCTGTTCGGCGTGGCGTCTTGACGTAGCGCTCCACGCGCCGAGAGCTTCGCGAACTCGGTGACTGAAGGAAGCATCGCGGTGCGTGGGGCGAAACTTCGGACGTGCATGAATGACGGCGCAATACAAACCCAAAAGACGCGTCGACCCTTTTCCCGATTGTGTAAAAAAAAAACAACAACTACATTTCCGTCGTGATGGATTTTCTTTTGCTTTCAAAAATCCAATGACATTGATATTTTATGAGTAATTAAATACATTAACCGGTTTGTCAGTCCACCTCACGTAATTATGTTTAGGTCCATCAGTCTAATATGGTCGACCAACATTTGTTTAACCAGACAACATTAGACCGGTTTCAACCTTTCAGGGTAGCGTCATCAGAAGGAGGCTGTTTACCCTTTGCTCATTTACACAAATCTAGCCGGGTGATATTGATCTGGATAGGCGGCTCAACTTTAAAATAATGTCGTTTTATGTCGAGAGGAGAACGTCGATTTATTTATTACACGTGAAAATCGGGTTTATTAACTAGATGAAAGGTAGAATTATTGACTCGGAGCATACAACTGAATTACTTGGATACATGATGTACAGTGCGCCCTTCATTAATGGGAATGTTTGGCAGCAAGTGGATAACTTTTTGCCAATGAGCATTTGTTGTGGCTAATTAAGCTTTTTATATATTTAAAAAAACGCTTCTGATCAATCGCAGATGACATGGGCAAGGTTGAGGGCAACGGATGGGGAAGAGCGCATGGCTGGAATATACAATTTTATTTTTAACGTGCAATTTTATTGAGGGACTGTGTGGTGTTGTCTTGGTTTTTGTCTGGGACTGTTTTTGCCGTTGTTTTGCTGACTTGCCCAAGCTTGGGAATTGGTGTACTTATGCAATTTGAACTCATACACTTAATCTATTTTACGTATTTATTTTAATGATTTTCTTTTCCTTTCCTATACTTTGCACTCCGATCGTGGTTTGTTTTGCCTTGTTTGTTTTAACTTTCTCACCCGTCCCTAACTACGGATTTTTCCAGCGTGAATAAAATATTCTGACTCTTGAGGAGAGAAGAGGTTGCTTGCTGGCTCCCTTCACCGTGAGAAGTAGCGGTGAAGCTTGAGAAGACAGTCATGAAAATGATCTCGTCGCGGTCCTAACCCGCAGCGTGCGAGCGGCGACGTTCGCACATTTCAGTCGTCGGTCTCGTTGTCATTGAAATCGCCCTCGTGAGCATCCGTTTGCGTGCGTCCTCACGTTGCGAGGCCTGCTCTAGTCATCGCCAGTTATTTCAAATGCATCGACTCGCCATTAAAGCGAATCACGGTCTGAAAAGCGAAAAAAAATGTTTATTTTAAATGTAGCCAATAGATTTTTCAATTATTTTGTCGTACGTTTTATGATGTATAGCTTTTTATTAAATATATATTTTTAATAATTCCTGTTCGAAGTTTTATTAAAAGCTATTCACGCAATTTAAACTTTGTGCATTAACTGTGCATTTCGCCAAGGGACAGAATATATACAGATAGACGCGTAGACATAGTGCTGGTGTTTGCTTATGTCGGTGATAGACAATTTATCGTAAGCCGTACTTAAATGCGAACTCTTGGGAGGTTCCACAAACAATACTTTTCAAATGACTCGCACCTGGAAAGAGCGAGTTCGCATCCTGGTTGAGGTTCAGCTTTCCCCCATTATCCCATAATTCCTAGAGTATAGATACAAAAGTACCGCAGTATATGAACTCACCAGTGGTCGTTATATGTAGATATAGATAAATACAAATAGTGATCTTTTGGAGCCCTGAGTCTCAGTAAACAGCCCTTTGTATACACGATAAAAATATATATTTTCATACGTTTGTGACAGCATTTTTTACACGTTTTTTTATTTGTTTTTAAGCACTCTTGTTTATCCGTGGGTTTCATCTTCATAATCAGTCGTTTTCGTTCTCGTTGGCTTGCACATTCCCACTCTGCGATGTCCTGCGTGCAGCCACGTAGTAGCCGCTCACCCCGTTTCACCTCTTGGGATGAACGCCACTTTTGTTCTTGAGCAGCGAGTCTCCATCCCACGGTGACAGTTTGCTTTTGTTCACCATCTCATCAAGGCGACCCTCGATGATGCCGACCGAAATAGCTGCCTCCAGAACCTCGGCGTTTGGGACCCGGTGTTGCCCACCCTGCGATGCCCTCATTCAGCTGCCGCCACAGCCGACAGTCTTGGGCTGTGGTCCTCGTAACAGAGTTACTGAGCTCACTGGGCCCTTACCAGCTGAGCTATTGGAGTCTGAGTCAAGTGTCTGAATCCACTGATGAATGAAAGGCCTTACCACATGTTGGGTATGGGGGTTGTGTGACCGTTCCTCACCATGCCGGTAGTGTGGTGGTTGGTGACTGGGGGAAGCCCAGAACCAGTATAGGCATAACGTTCCACTGATGTTGGCCGTGGCCAGGAATTGGACTCGGATCGCCTTGTTCACAGGGCGGCACTACAACCCAGATGTATAGAGAGATGACCTTTAAATAAATCAGATGAGATCCCACATGTAGGCTAAGACTGCCATAGAAATGCGAGTTTGCAAAATTGGCTCTCAGCTCTAAGCCAACATGAACTGACATTCAAGCCATTAAACGGTATATATTTTGGGATTGATATGCAACCAGGAGCGTCTTATTCTCATCATGCTGAGAGGTGGTGGCTATTATATTTTATTTTATATAGCGTCATTCATGCTAATAGCATCCTATAACGCCATACATTAATTACATATGAGGACCTAATCCCATCATATACAGCCATTACCGAGCAAATTAAAATCCTGCTAGCAGGCAAAGTCAAGAATGAACAAACAATTTAAGAAATGGCACCAAAACAAAAAAAACACAAACAACAAAAAATGTATTATTTGGTTCTTTCGGTAAAGTCACGTAGGTTGAAACATGCTGAAGTGGGCTATTTTTTCTTGCTGTGGTGTTCCCACCTAATGAGGATTGCTTGTGTTGCGATCGAAACGTCGTGATTTGTTTCATTTTATATTATTTCTACCTACGTGACTTTGCCGAAAGAACCAAAGAGTATGGATTCCTGCAGTCACGAAGGCAGTGATCTGTAGCCCAGCACTGTGGAGACAGTGAAGGTTGGTGGATCACGCACACAGGTGCCATACCCTGACTCGCCAGGAGAAGGCGGTACAGCAAGTGGGCTGATCCACAACTGCTTCCATCTGTACAAGGATAGAGTGTTGCCCCCTCGCATGTGTGGGTTTTCTCCGGATGCTCCAGTTCCCACCCACTTGTATAAATACGCTCATCATTAATTGGGCCAATGAGGCAGGACCCTCCTCAGTGTGGCATTCCTGGATAAGTAAGTGATTAAATTAAAGAAATAAAAGCATTTCATCGATGCATGACTTAGTAAACCAAATGTGAAAGGCAGTAGCCATTCACGACACACAACGCTTCGTTGCTGCAATGTGATTTTGCGGCTCGCAACGTTACTCCTGTGAGCTGAAATTCCCCGAAGGAGCACATTTTTATTTCTGTTGAGCATTACGGCGCTTGATGATGTTGCTGTCATTATAATCAGCGGCGGCACTGGCGCTGTCATCGCCATTTATTTGAAAAGGGTTCTATTGCTCGGTAACGTACATTTTTCAACCGGCTTCGAAAAACAAATCCATTCAAGTGTGAGAGCACAAGCAAGGCAAGTAATGCTGGATGATTATCCAGCAGCACAAACGCTGGAGATTATGGATTGCTCGTGGATGGGAGAGGTACAACAGGGCGCCCTTTGTTGAGCGATTGCCGTTGCAGCCGTGTTTGCCTAAGGAGTCGGAGGTCACCCTCTAGCGAGATGAACTTGCAAAGCCAGGCCTTGGCAAGGACATAACATAGATTCCTACACTGATGAGCGCCTCGGTTAGAATTGGGCAGGCGTCTAGTTGAATGGACTTATATTCCCAATGTAGAAAATCACATCTTTACCAATTCATCAATTTTTGTGATTTTTTTGTTTTAAAAGAGGCAACTTGTCTACCTGTCCGGCAGCTGTAAGCAAGTATCGAGTGGCACTCCTCTCTGCTGTCTCTCAGGAATCCAGGATGACATTGACAATCGTCGAGGGGCATAAATCATCACTCGAACTCTGGTAATCATGCAAAGCGGCTTTTGTTTAGCCATTGAACAAAGACGGTCACCGCATCGCGCGCTGTCAGACGTGCTTCTACGGCCATCTGGAACGCTCTTCTTTCCGATATTAGGAAGCCACTGAAGCTATACACATAAATCTAGATTGAAAATTCATTTCTTTAGAACTGCTTTTTGTGCTTAGTTTGTTGTCGTAGCCGCTTGCCCCATTTCACCGCTTGGGATGAAAGCTGCTTTCGTTCTTGAGCAGCGCGTCTCCAGATGCACAGTGCGGGTTTTTTGTCCACCATCTCGCGTGCCCGCTTTGATGGCGCGGTGCCAGCCATTCGAGGTTTGAATCGGTACGTCTGGGATGTGTAGCTTCTGTTTCCGGGAGTCCTTGAAGCATGTCATCTGGCTTCCTGGCTCGAGGTTACCGGATCTTAGCTCGCAGTATAGGACTTGTTAGGGGAGGCGGCTCCGATTAGCACGGTTGGCTACGTACGGTGCGAAAGAAGTTTAACGTACGTTCGTACAAGAATGCGAGTGACGTGGCCGGTCCATCTTCGGCTGGGCGCAAATCAGGCGACCCTCGGTGATGCCAAACAAACCAGCTGTCACCAGAAGCTCAGCATTTGGGACCCGGTGCTGCCGTTTAATGCCCGGTGGTCATCACGGGTGTTGCAGGGCCTCCGAATGCGTCGTTGGCAGCAAGTTGCGCGTGCTCGTCTCCGCTGGCCATACAGAGCCAATGGTGGAAATGTCACTTTTTTATGGCAGGAGTAATTTTCTCGTCAGTACAGCCACTGTCCAAAACACGGTAGAAATGGCTTCTACCCTGGGGGGGGGGAAGGAGCCGGTTAACGCCTGGGTGGGATTTGAATTCGTGATTGCAGCATATTCATATTTATTTTTCCCAATCTTCTAATGTGCGTCATGTCATTTGGAATTTGGTTCAACGCCCATTGAAAGATTTGTGAGGGGGAAATGCAAATCAACGTTGAGGTCACAGAGAATTAGTTGAAATTCCACATTCCTATGGCAGGGAAATATTCCCCCCCACAGGACTTTGGCTGAGTTGACTCACAACCTCTTTAATTGTGAGCTGGGTGCTCTATTCACAGCGCCACCCACAGTGTATGCGTCTGTGTCACAGGCCGACAAAAACACCATCGGGTGCTCTTGAACGACAACGCCGCTTCGCTGCAAAGCTGTTGTGCAAAACTTTCAATGAATTTCAGCCTCACGGAATTGGCTAAATTGCTGTAATGAAACGTAATGAAAACATGTTGGTGGCGTTTAATGCTAATAGTTAAGCCGTGGGCATCTTGTATGATGTCTTATTCTCACAGGCTGTTGCCTGCGTTGGTTTCAATGGTTCTCACTTTGAACGCCTTTTAATAGGAAGGGAGGGAAAATAAATAAGAATGAAATTGTACTGATGTTTGTGTGCGAGTATGGCTGAAGCATGCAGGCTGTGGGTTTCCATCCTGGGATAATGTTCCACTCATAATAATTACAGCCCTGGGTTTTCATTGAACATTCAATACATTTCTCTTAGAGCACTGATGTAATCTCGCCCAAACAACCGAAGGCCCAAACGTCATATTTTCTCATTATCCTTAACAAGCCCAAAATGCCTCTATCATGTTTTGACAATCGTAATGATGGTAATATAATATTCAGTGTGGCATATGATTGAAATAGAATTTTAATTAACCACTGTGCTGTATCATTAAAGCTTGACAAAGTATGTTAAATACAAAATATTTTGAAGGGGTGCCGTGGCACTTTACTTCAGTGACTTTGAGGCAGGGTTGGTGGATCACGCAGGGTGACGGTATGATTGAAAACCACATGCTGGTCATCTAGACTCCTCTCTGAGGCCCTAGAATCAAATAGAAAACTTGTAGCCTTTGGGTTTTCTCGTTTGTCATTGATGATTAACATTGACACCAGACCTTGCACCACCTGGCGGAGTTATTGCCGAGTATCCGACTTGCATGGGGTCTACGGTATTGGTGGATGTGCTCACCGGACGGATATGTGAACGTCTGTAGAGTACGGGAGTCATGCTATGCACAAATAGGTTACAGGACGGAAATAAAGCGCAGAGATATTTAAACATGGGACGATGCTTGACTGCACTTTATAAGTAAGCGAATGAATGTGAGATTAAGAATGCATTGCTGTGTCCGTGAAAAGGTCATAAGTGTGAACATCTATAGAGAATGACTCTTATACCACGGCAATAAAACTTGCTAGATGCGGACAGTCACATTGAATATATAATGGTCGTATATATATATGCGACGTTGTAATAATGATAATAATTATACATTTAAAAACACACGCTTGTCGAAACGTTTCCAGGTATGCTGTGCAGCTGCGAGGTAACAGGTGAGTTATCAGGTCGAGTCGTTAATTCCATAAAGCGTTCTCACCGCTGGGCCGGGCAGCTTTGCCTAAACTATTAAACTATTTCTTTTTTACCAGGTAAAGCACACCGAGCTATGTAGTTATTATGCAGAAGCGTCCCGGCCACAAATAACAGCTCAACGAAGTGGCTTATCGTGTGGAAATGTATAGCAGCCAAATTCTCTAAACGCGCATTGGTTTTGATTTTTAAATGAGGAGGGGAAAACCGGAGGATCCAGAGAAACGCAAACTCCAAATATACAACAGGCATCATGGTCGGGATCGAAATCGAACCCACGTCCCTCCTGTATACGTGGCGAGGTATTTAACATCTCGCCACCGCGGCGCCTCATCGGGGGTGTCCCCGTGCGTGCATCCCACAGGCCATGGAGCGGCCCGGGGGCCTGCTCGCCTATCTGGAGCAGAGCGGCAAGCAAATCGAGGAGGTGGTGGGGATGGTGCGTGGGAAGCTCTCGAAGATGGCTCGCATCACGCTGGGAGCTCTGATCACCATCGACGTGCACGGTAATCCCTCGCCACCGACGCGTGCCCGCATCGCGCCGGTGGCGTGGCGAGCGCAGCCGCTGGCTCGTCGCTTGAGGTGCCGCGTGGCAAGGGGCTGCGAGTGTGCGTCATTCCACGCCGCGCGCATCGGCAAGGGAACGTTTTCTTTTTCTTTTTCTGGTCCTCGATTTAATTAGCGTCGACGGTTGTATTTAATGTGCCATATGCGGAAGATATAAGTATACATGCTACATTAATTCGGTGCACGTCTAGGTTACGTTGTACCCGCTGCATGGTGCGCGCAGTTAGTGTGTTCGACTTACAATCAGCCTTGAGTCTATAAATGTTTGAGTCTGCACGGCTGAGTAAAAGGGTAATGGTGCAGCCCAGTAATTTCCCGCTCACGACACCGCTAGCAGAAGGGCTTCCACTAGCGAGAGCTCAAGGGAGGGAATTTTGGCCTGCTCTTCCACGCTGGCCAGGCGTCTTGGAAGAGGTGGGAGAACCCACACTTTATATCGCCACACGCCGCATATCTGTGGTTGCACCTATTTATACAGCTGGGTGGACTGAGGCAGGGGAATTTTGTAAGCTTGCACCATTGTTTCTTCCGAACCGGTGACCTCTAGATGGCAAGTCCGGTGTGCTCACCATTACACCGAGTCTTTTGTTTGGCTCAGCGGTAACTAAAATTCTAAATTGTGTTCATCGTCATAATCTTATGCAGGGATGTAAAAATGTTTGCGAGGGATTGTAAGGGCAATGTTGATCTCGAGTGTGCTGTTGGCGTCGTTAATGAGGTGGTCTTAGTTCTGGAACTCCCTCAAGTCAGTACAACCTCACATGATGTCTGAGAATTGTCCCAGTAGATAGACAGTACGGGACCATCACCCTTCAGGGTTGATGTATTGAGTACCACATTGCTTGTTTAGTCACAAACACACTATGGCCTTGACCTAACATGAAATTAGTTATTAAATATAAAATAATAATTTTAATAAATTGGACCCCGACACGCAATTATGCCAACAGTGGATTCTTCAGGCTGTAGTGCTTGTATGTGTATTCATGTTTACAGCACTTTGCAAATCCACTGCTGGATGAAGACGTTCCAATGCCATGTTGTCTTGTAGAGCTATTTGACCATACTTCACCACGCTGGTCAATGCAGCTTGCTCAAAAAGTGTGGCCTGGGACTGATCAGGGCATCACTCACAACCGGCCATGGCCGGGAATCGAACTGAGGTGGTCAGTTTTTATCGTGCAGTGGTTGGCACACTACCACTCACTCCCCCTCCCCCCCCCACGCCTATATAGCTTTACATTTTTTGCAATCATTGCAAGTGGATAAAACAACCTATCACATTTCTTCATGCAGTGCGATACCGGAGCTCAGCAAGTAATGGCATGTATTTCTTTGGGAGCAGTTTGTTTTCATTATGATTAATGAATAAATAAATGTGTGAAGACGTATGTGTAAAGGGAGGTCACGCGCATTTCCAGAAGGCTCGGCTGCACTCAATTCCTGATGCACCCTGCAAGAAATTGCATTCATAATTCATTTTTGGGTCGGATTGCATCAGCAAAAATGTGTGTCATAAACCCCCCTCCACCCGACACAGACAACGTATAAGGTTGTTACGTGATCACACGTGCCAATGTGATACTTCTCCTCGGCACACAATCGGGTGCGGACTTTTCGCTGGTAGTTACATCGTCGGGCAGATGCCGAAAATGTGAAAATGTCCTCCAGTCTTAGGACTTAAATAGGCGGTGTGATGTCATATTCTTTCGGTAAAGTCACGTAGATAGGTTCAAAGAAAAATAATATGAATTCCTGCAGTCACGAAAGCTTTAAGTCAATATTTTGGTGTGATGTCATCAATGTAGCGGAACGTTCAATATGGATTGCTCTCCCAGCAGGCACGCCGGTGGTGCTAAAGCAGACATAAATTGCCACGTTTGTTCTCGTAACAACGTTATTCATTGGCTGTCTCGGGTGGAGGAGGATGTAACGACACATTTTACTAACGCGGTCTGACCCAAAAATCAGTTATGAATTGTAATATCGGTTCCGAAAGCCCACGTGTTAAAAATGAATTTCATGCGTGTTATTTTCTGCACAACTGTGTAAAAAATAATTCTAACTTCATTAAAGAAGTCATGTTTAAATCAGTGCACTACTCAAAAATGTGTAGCTTAAAATGTAATAACAGTTATTGGGGGCAGAGCAGTGGAGCAGTGGTTAGCATACTGCACTGTGAATATGATAGTCCGAGTTTGAGTACCAGGGCATGGCTAACACCATTTGTGAGTTATATTTTAACCAGTCATGGGCTCTCTTCTTAACCAACCCATACTGACTAGCATGGTGAAGTTTGATCAAACAACCACCGTGACGAAAATGTAATGGGGATGCCTTCATCCAGCAGTTAATTGACAAAGGGCTGAAAATATGTTTTTATCAGTATCTAAATGTGTCAAGTTAATTTCAAAGTGTTTCTACTCAAGCATGGTGTGGTGTTGCTGTTCACCTTCGTTTGTGGCAGAAATTCCATACTCCTATGACAAGGACCCGTAAGTCTTCATAACAAAGTGGCACTCGTTTTATTAACCCCAAACAGATAATTGGTTGTTGATCCCTGACCCAGATTTGAACTCGTGACCTTCCAGTTGTGTATCAAGTGCTTTATCCGTACTGCCAACCTGCTCCATGAATACATTGAATGATTCTCAATGGGTTATCACCAATTGTAGATATATACATGTATAAATAACATGAATATTTATCAGCTTCAGTATTGATCTTTATTTTAGAAGATTACAGCTGGTGAGCTACCTGCACTCAGGTTAACCACTACATTATACAAATGTAGTGAGTCACTTCGGAGACACTATTTAGGAGGCAACAACGTTTATTCTACACTACGTAACACCTTTACACATGGGACTACCATGCACCTAACTCTTACACTCGTTACACGCGGGGCTATAACACACCTATCCCTTGCGCACACGGGGTAACTATAACCGGGTCAGAACCACCAACGTGCTGTCTGACCCACGACGTCGGAGACGGAGACGTAGCACTTGGGTTCCACTTCACCTCCAGACAGCCCCGATATGCAGTCAGGGCTCCCCTTTTATCCCTCTCAGCACGGCCTGGCTCCACCCTCGGCCGCACCCCCCCCCCCCCGGCCACGCCCCCCCTCTGGAACATTCCTGAAGGTTCCAGACTACCTTGCACGTGCCACCTGCTAGGCTCCGCCCTTAACCACGCCCCCTCCAGGAACTCTTCAGAAGGTTCCCGGCTACTCTTCTCGTGTCCCCTCGGTCACCTTTTCCTCCCACCCATCACGTGCTTCACCCGATGCCGGGGTGACTCGTCCTCACATTCCCCCCTCCACCAGCAGCGCTCACCACGCTCCCCCGTTACCAAGTATGTGGCAATTACTCGCTGCGCTGGCGGAGTGGCTGCTATTCCTTACTCTGTCGGTAGGACTCATCAGCCTAGCACCTGGTACCACGCCCCTAGTGACCCACTGTATGGTACTGCACGGTGTGCTAGCCTCTTGCACCCACGTTACCTTGTTTTACAGCACTTAGCCGCTACGCGTCGTAGTGAACCATTTTACATCACTGCACATATAACGTATGCAGTATTTTTACTCTGTTGAATGGTGACAGAGTCCATGTTGGTTCCACTGCCCAGGTTAACTGATTGTGCGATCGGCACCAGGTCAAGAGATGCAGCATCCGTTCGGATCTTGTCAGGTGCAGTGCAACCTTTCGTGTTAGACAACGATCCACTGAAGCAAATATCGCAGAGCTGCCTTTGAGGTTCCTTCAACTGACCTCCGCTGCACATAGTAGGTTACAGCACTTTCCCACCCTCTCAGCCACAGAGAGTAATGCCCATTACATAGTAGTCAAACCAATATTTATTTATTCACAGGGATGGAATTCAGGAAAATTCGGCGCAGTACCCAATTTTATTGTGGGTTCCTGTGCAGTCTTTGGTGATTGAGCTGAAACCATGAACTCAAAACACTTGAGAACCTGGTTTAATCACGGAATTCTGCCTGGGCTCAAACCAAGGTTCGCAGCGATGCCATCTTTACACTCTAAATGTCTGAGCCTCCCGGTCGCCTTCGCATATATTATTTTGCGATTTTTCTATAAGCCACGCTTGGAATTGTATGTTGACACCATGACCTCTCTCTTGCTATCTGTCAATAGAATAATCCATCTTTATTTAAATGGAATGATGAGAGGATAGGTCAAAAGTCACCACTAAAACGATAGTGAGTCCGTGTTAGTCCCTGTCCTTGAGCCAGCGTTGTACATTCCTTGTTCTTATGGCAAGTGGCAGTAAATCTGTTCCTATATTGTGAACAAATGTCATTGCCCCAACTAAGTCTGAAGACATGTTTTAAAACACATTCCTGTGGAGGGAGCTGGTAGGAACGTTGGGTTGCTCGGTCAATGGCCAGGGTCAACGGCGGCACCACGTGGTGTATTCCGCAAATATGCCCGACTGTGAGGGCGGGCACAAGCCGGCGTGAGTAGGTTAAACGTTGAGTTTTATAAGGGCACCACGGGGTGACCAGCCCCTCCCCACCCAGCCCCACCCCTCCCACCCCCCACCCAGCCCCATCCTCTCCACCCAGCCCCTCCCCACCGTCCCCTCTCCACCCAGCCCCACCCCTCCCATTTTTGGATGCATGACGGACGGACGGACACAATAATCCCCTGTGGGCTGGTGTAACCAGCAGGTTCCTACCAGTATAAAGGATCCTACTTGGCCAATGCAGTCTTTGTTTTATACTTGCTGCCACTTCAAAAGGAAACAGGTAAAATTATTATTGTTGACTAGGGACCCATTCTGTAGATGGAGTGCTCGTATTAATAGCATCCGGCAACCAAGCAACAATTTTTTTACATTCTGACTCTGCTGACAAAATCTTAAAGATCAGTCGACAGTTTTGACTGATGGAGAACATGAATATTTACATGTTTATGCAGGGAGATGAATTGATGTCGTTTATTTATTTTTCAATCATCCCAGGGCCTGGTTTTACCGATAAAGAAATTCCGTTCCTGATGCATGTCTGATCCATATATCATAGCTGGGCCTATACACTGATCACTCTCTTCTGTCGGATTATGTTGCTTTTTATTATCAAGTTTAGCTGAACACTGAAAAAGCAAATGGAAAATAATTGGATAGTGCGCAAACAGACATGAGGAGAGATGCATGCTCAGAATTACGCTGATAGACACAGAGGAGAACGTGGATAAGGGACAATGCAAATCAGAGACCACACATTGACTTGGTAGTGGGATTGGCCAGGGATGATGGCCAATGAATGAGGCTCTTTCCAGCATGCCAGAGGGAAGAGTGGAAGACCACTGCAGGTGGAGCGGTGTGATCAGGTCATGTGCAGTGAGATTCATTGGGTTCACCACTGATCTGGGTTTGTGTCAGACTAATGGCTCAGTTTCTGGTTATTTCTGTGAGGAATTACCAAGCAGTGAAATCCGCGAATAAGTCTAGAGTGAAGAATCTCTGACTTGACTGTGAGGGATCACAGAATCACAAGGGATGACAATGGCATGCAAGTGGCCTTCATCCAACAGTGGATAGGCCACTGATAATGACGGTGATACAATTTCTGAGATAAATTAACAAAGCGATTAATTTGCTGTAGAGTGGACTTGAAATATCATGAGATAATTTGTGTGCAAGTGACAGTCCAACGCCGAGTTTTGCAAATCACCCCCAACTAAATTGTGAACATTAATAACGGGCCTTATCCCATGTAACACGTTGTGCAGGTCTGCCTTGAAAATTAGATATTTTAGTAGCAGGCTTTCACCGTGTTAAATAATTGATATGACATAAATTTATATTACTGTTCACTTGCAGGGGGTGAATATTCCAGTGTTCATTGTGCTCACCACGGAGACACATTATATGAGACTAATGATGTCAGTGTCTGGTGTTTCTGTGACGAATTACGAAATAGTGCAATCTGTTGTTGAGTTGATTTTGAAGACATTTTTCTTGAAAGTGCTAGCCATTACGCATCAATGCAGTTGCTCAAATCTAAAACTTGACAGCTTTCCACAAATTGTTATCGAGTGACTTTAGAGAGCTTTGATGGAACATGCAGAGAATGGAATCGTGATGTGCTTGAGGTAACCCACCTGGTTGCCCAGGCAACTAGGTGGGCCCTTGGCAGGCAGTACAGAAATTCCACTTTGCCGCAATATTTGTATCATTTGAGCATTTTCCTCTGGTGTTTGTGGAGTTTCTCTCGAGTCAAACTGACTCAAAAAGATACATGTGTCAGAATATCACAAGGAGGTTTGTGCTGATAATGCGAAATGAAGAGACTTGCCGAGGACTTGCATTGCATGGCCAAATCTGGCAAAGCCGTGCCACACCGCTTGAGTCACAAACGTGACGAGTTTCGATCCCAATTGGACGTCCACTCAACCCAGAGTCTTGAATACTCAGTGAGACTTACCAGGGTATTTACAATACTGTCCAATCAATCAACGTTACAAGAGTATTCACAATACTCTCCAATCCATCAATGTTGTGAAAGAAACTACCAGGTAATACGTCTCCTTTACCATTGAATTAACATCACGTTCATGGCCACTGACCAATTGGTCCAGGGTTTTCTTTCTTTTAACAAATTGTGACATCGGCCCAGAGAGCTTATTGGTCAGTGAATCATATTTTATTTAAGCGATGATAAATAAATCTCCCCCCCCCCCCCCCTCTTTATCTGCGACTCAATGGGCGCTTCTATGCCTCTGTTCTGTTCTAGAGATAATTTCCCCCATCCCTCCGTGCTGCCAACTCCTTGTCGCTATTGATGTCTACGCTCATGACCTTAATCTTTTCTGCTGAATTATAACTGTTGCCTATATCTGCAATATCCCTTCCATATGATTTTTTTTATATATATAGATATATACACGTATGAAGTATTGCACGCCTTTTTGGGTTCTTCTTCGTGACGCACATGTGCCGCCCTTTGTACGTCACCGTGATATGCAGCTGCATTGCCGATACCACGTAGATAAATCCCGAGTCGAATTGTTCGGCGCCTGAGTGTTTTCCTTGCTCAACGACGGCATCTGTGCCCCGGGGAGACAGCTCGGGACGTGGTGGCGAGGCTGGCCGAGGGCGGTGTGAGCGGCATCACCGAGTTCCCGTGGATCGCTCAGCTGCGCTATTACTGGGAGGTGGGGGGCGCGCGCGTGTGCATGGTGACCACCGGCGTGCCCTACGGATACGAGTACCTGGGCAACACGGGCCGCCTCGTCATCACCCCACTCACGGACCGCTGCTACCGGTACGCCGGTCGTCACACCGCTCACTCACCACTGCTACCGGTACGCCGGTCGTCACACTGTTTACTCACCCCCAATACCGGTACGCCGGTCGTCACACCGCTCACTCACCCCGAATACCGGTACGCCGGTCGTCACACCGTTTACTCACCCCCAACACTGGTACGCCAGTCGTCACACCGCTCACTCACCCCTAATACCGGTACGCCGGTCGTCACACCGTTTACTCACCCCCAACACTGGTACGCCAGTCGTCACACCGCTCACTCACCCCGAATACCGGTACACCGGTCGTCACACCGCTGACTCACCACTGCTACCGGTACCCCGGTCGTCACACCGTTTACTCACCCCCAATACCGGTACGCCGGTCGTCACACCGCTCACTCACCGTTGCTCCCGGTACACCGGCTGTTGTAGTCATCTAATGTAAGCATTATCAATAAAATTTTTATTTATGTAACCATTTAGTAAACAATTTCTATTGTAATGCTATTGTTATTTTATGCAACAGTTGAAATTACACATTACTTTGATGGGGGCTAATGTCTCTACTGCTGACTTTCCACAAAGTGGTTCTTATTTTATTAATCCCAGAAGGACAATGGGTGTATACTCTTTGGTTCTTTCGGTAAAGTCACGTAGGTAAAAAAAAAATTGAAAACAACAAAAAAAATGTTTACGTGACTTTACCGAAAGAACCAAAGAGTATGGATCCTTGCAGTCACGAAAACTTCAAATCGGGAAGTAATGTGTGGAATTAACCATTGACTGTGATTTTCAACTTGCTTCTGTCCAATTGTGGCTTGATCGCTCGAACCACAGCACCATACTGCCAGATCCATCATAAAACCTGCCGATATACTTCTTTGTGAGGACCATGATGAACACTGCTGCAATGAACAATAGCACGAGCATCTTAATTCATTTCATCACAACGCCCCACTAACATCGGGATTAATTTAAATACCACTATCACAATGCAATCATTGCATTTAATTTTCATCTTAGTTCAATGAAGCTAGAAACTTTTTTTTTTACATTCCCACGGATGCCAACTCCAGTTTACATCCCGCACCTCCGATGAGCGCGGTTGTGCTACATACAGTGTGAAAGAAGTTCAACATGCACACGCAACATACGTCCAAACGTACGCAATTTATTCAGACGCAGATTAACGAATGTGCACAGCGGATGGCAAAGGACGAAGGGCTTTGTGCGACGCTCAGTAAACCGTCATTCTCCGCGCCTGTGCGTGCGCGGGTTGGGTGGCCTGCTTGACTACGCTTGCAGGACACTCATGGGAGCCTTGCTGCTGAACCTGGGAGGGGCGCCTGAGGGCCCAGCTGGAACGGGCAAGACAGAGACCTGCAAGGATCTGGCTAAGGCCGTGGCTAAGCAGGCAAGATGCTACGCACACACCCTCTGCCACTGCCCCACCTGATTGGATGGAGACCATTCCCTCTGACGAGCAATCTCAATGCAGAGACGTGAATGCAGGAATGGAATAATTGTTGTGTGCGACTGTGATGTAAAGTATATTGTTTTTTATTGGTTTATATATTTTTTTTATTATTTTATTGTTTCCCTTCAACGTGACTTTACCGAAAGAGCTAAGAATATAAAAATGTGATGTAAAGGTTCAGGTTACAGCCCTGCATTGCATTGCTTAGACTCAGACTTGTATTTGAACTGGTAAGGCCCATGGTGCTAGAACAGCTCTTTTACAAGGATGACCGCAACCCAAGCCACTGCTGAGAGGAGGATATGTTATGTGTATGTTGAACTTCTTTCGCACTGTACGTAGCCAACCGTGCTCTAAAGAGCCCCTCTGCTGCATATTTTGGTCTACTCTTCTACATTGCTAAGACGTCTTGAAAGAGCTGGGAGTACCCATACTTTACCCCACCATACTCGACCTGCCAATCGACTAACTGTGATGCACCCATTCATACTGATGGGTCGGCAGCAGCGGGAGGAGTTCGTGGGGAGGCAGAGTCACTTTATTTTTCGGGTATTTGCACTGCCGTGCTGCATAATAAAGGTTTGTGAGCTCGAGAATAAATGTTTTTTTTTTTAGCAAATCAGGTATGTGGGACATATATCTCGGACGTTCACAGGCAGGGTGATTGAAATTTTAAATAAAACCTCGGATTCGATGGAAAAGATATGGCTTGCATCGCTCTAGATCTATGAAGAGACGAGGGTGGAATTACACAATGGAATGTGAGACCATTCCACAATTTGGGAACAGCAGAGACATGAAGAACCGATGATTATAGAACCGCACGTGTGTACACACCGTGTGCATGTGCGAATCTCACTTAAAGTTTTATTATGTCAATTATCGTTTCCAGTATCCTGGTCAAGTGGGATCGATGCTGGCCTGTGTTAGGTGTGGGACATTATTAATGCTGGCTAATTATTTATTAGGAGATGCACAGTAGGGGTGTTAACTAACGTGTTTGCGTGTTTTTCTCCGCGTGGATTTGTCCCCGGGTCCTTCAGTTTCCCCCTACACATTTAGAATCAACGTGCGTTTAGAGTATTGAGCTGCCAATTTTCACGTGATAAACCACTCCGTTGGGCTATCATTTGTGGCCAAGTCGCTTCTGAAACAGAACTACATAGCTCAGTAGGCCTTACCTGGTAAAATAAAAAAAGTTTATAGTTACATTCGAGGTTTCGTTTTTGCACTAAGCCTAAAACTCCTCCCTTCTAACCACGAACCAGGCACAACTGTTTGGAGCTTTTGAGATGTGGTGAATTTGGGTTTTTTCAGAATTGTTTGGTCGTAGGTCATACACATTTCATGATTGTGAGCAAGAACATAGCTCTGCTGAATTTTGACTTAAAACTTTTGTGACTGCAGGAATTCATATTCTTTGTTTTTTTCGGTAAAGTCACGTAGATAGAAGAAACATAATAAAATAATAAACAACAAAAAACAGTAATGTAGACTGTAGCCTGGTACTTAATTGGAGTGAGCGTACTGGAAGTCTATAATGTAGACTGTAGCCTGGTTATTAAGTTTGGTGAGTGTACTGGCAGTCTATAATGTAGATTGTAGCAATGCATATTCTTGGGTCTTTTGGTAAAGTCACGTAGATAGGTTCAAAGAAAATAACTAAAAACTACGACGTTTCGATCGCAACACAAACGGTCGTCATCAGGAAAAGGGGGGTTAGCCTCTAAAGGCAAACTGATTAAAAAGGTTTAGAGATGGGCGTAGCCCAAGTGTGTTAGCAGCATGGGCGGGGCAGCTTATGTTAATGTAGGAGAAACCAATGCCAACGCATTGGGTCTACACCAATCAAAAGGGCCGCCAGGCAATCATTTGCATCCAGGCATCCACTCTATGCCCGTCCTTGTAGAAGAGGTACATGGATGACACGTTTGTCATCTGGCCACATAGCCGACCGGCTCTGAACCAGTTCCTCAACCCCATCAATTCCATACACCCAGCCATCAAATTCACCATGGGGGTAGAAAAGGATGGCTTGCTACCTTTCTTGGATGTCCTAATAAAAAAGAGACCAGATGGCTCAATGAGCCATTATGTCTACAGGAAAGTAACCCATACTGACGCCTACCTAAAACCTGATTCCCACCACCATCCATCCCAGAATAATTCCCTCATCAAAACGCTACACCATAGAGCTCAATGTATCTCCGACCATGAACACCTAACCAGCGAACTCGAACACGTACACCAAGTTCTCAAGGCGAATGGATATTCTGACTACACAATCCGCAAAGCCATCACCCCACCCGTGAGGAAGGAGCCATCTGAAGATCCAATCAAAACCATCACCTTGCCAAACATAGCAGGGGTAACCAAAAAGATTTCCAAAATCATGAATAAACACAAGATCCAGGTCCGATTTAACACAGTACATAAAATTTGTGATCTGATCCGATCTGTGAAGGACAAGATTCCTGACATGCAATATCCTGGCGTCTATAAACTAAGCTGTATATGCGGCAGCAGTTACATTGGGGAAACTTAGTGACATGTCTCGGACCGTGTTTGTGAGCATAAGGCAGATTTGAAACACGGTAGGACCAATACTTCTGCCGTGGCTGATCATTATTTTAATGCAGATGGTTCTCACGAAATTGATTTCTCTAAGATGATGGTGCTTTTCAAGCCTACTGTCTATCAAAAAAGATTCGTTCATGAAGCCATCCATATATACAGACACAATTTAAACCGAGAGGATGGTTATAAACTCAGCAATCATTGGAAAGATGTCATCAACCACTTTGGGTCATGACTTTATTTGTGTTTTCTTGTCAACCTCCTCATCAGCAGTGGTGGTATGTGGAGCGAGGTGCAAATAATTGCCTGGCGGCCTTTTTGATTGGTGTAGACCCACTGCGTTGGCGTTGCTTTCTTCTACATTAACATAAGCTGCCCCGCCCATGCTGCTGACACACTTGGGCTACGCCCATCTCTAAACGTTTATCAACCAGGCTACAATCTACATTATATACTGCCAGTACGCTCACTCAGTTTAATAACCATTGCTACAGTCTACTTCATAGACTGCCAATATGCTCACCAGCTTAAAAACCAGGCTACAGTCTACATTATAGACTGCGAATACACTCACCGTGGTTAAGAACCAGGCTACATTCTACATTATAGACTGCCAGTATGCTCACCGAGGTTAAGAACCAGGCTACAGTCTACATTATAGACTGCCAGTACACTTACCCAGCATAATAACCATTGCTACAGTCTACATCAAAGACTGCCAGTACACTCACCAAACTTAATAACCAGGCTACAGTCTACATTATAGTCTGCCAGTACACTCACTACGATTAAGAACCAGGCTACAATCTGCATTTGTGTTTTTTTGTTTATTATTTGTATTCACTTTATTTGTTATAATTGTTTTTTCTATCTACGTGACTTTACCGAAAAAAACCCAAAGAGTATGAATCCTTGCAGTCACGAAAGCTTCAAATCTAGAATATAGCTCTGCTGTATATGCGTATATATGCGTATGTGCAAGTACACATACGCATACACAGTGGAGCTGAAATCCTGCATAAGCTTGTATGTACGATTGGCCACTGTGGTGTAGCAGGGTTGTGTTGATGTCAGCCTCGCTGTTCAATGAGCTCTGCTGCGTTGATGTCAACGCTAATTGTCGTGCTCCTGAGCCACATTCATTCCGATCGCGTCTTCCTGCCATTTGCCATGCTGGATGCTGCCACCACAGTGGTGTCATGGTTAAGCCACTAGAACTTTTAAATCTTGATCAAAAACTAATTTCTTGAAGAGCGGATTTTTGGGTTTAGTTTGTTGTCCTTCCTCAGCACCTCTGATTAGCACGGTTGGCTATGTATGGCGCGAAATAAGATCGACATATAGACACAACACACTGGGCTTGGAATACATGGGTCGCCGGTTCATTTAAATCTCCGAGTGGGGCAGTTTAAACAATGCTGCAGGTTTATTAACCCCCTTGCCCCGTCTCTGGCCCACCCAGCAGTGTGAATGGGTTCACGTGCAGTCAATTGCCCCCCCCCCTTTCTTCCTTTTCTAGCTTTGCCCACTTACCTTTGGGTTGGGCCCACCACAACCCTTTATAAACTCTTGTTGTCAGCAGCTCTTACTCCTGTGTCAGCGGTTGTCCTGCTGTTTCGGTGCCACCTGATGAAGGTCGCTTGTGTTGCGATCGAAACGTCGTGATTTGTTTTACTTTATTTCTACCCACGTGACTTTACCGAAAGAACCAAAGAGCATGGATTCCTGCAGTCACGAAAGCTTCAAATCACGATTCAATTGGAGGGTTGTTAAATAAAGCGTGGGTACTCCCATCTCTTTGATGACGTCTGGGGAGCATGAAAGAGTAGGTCAAATACCCTCTCGAGCAGTGGTTCCCAATCTTTAAACATTCATCGTAGGCCATCATTTCGTAAAAACGAAGGTATTTCATACTATATAAGAAATCTATTTTCTGGCTGGATTCCTGCCTGGATTCCTGTCTGCCTGCCTGGATTCCTGTCTGCCTGCCTGGATTCCTGTCTGCCTGTCTGGTGAACGGCCAAGTGCGTGTGTGCATAGTGACGTTGCCGCGCACACCTGCACGATGACAATCATCCGCCATCCCACAGCGTTGAGCCGGGTTCATGAATCGCGCTGATGTAATGGAGGAGAGAGGGGATTGAGGGAAGGGAGAGAGGAGGGAGGTTAGGTAAGGAGAGACAAATTGGAATAGAGGGAATAGGGGTGGAGACAGAGGGAACGGCCATGAAATGGAGAGGAAAGAGAGAGCAAAACAGAAAGAGGAGATCGAGGGAAAGTGACCAGCAGTGGGAGGGAGGATTAGAGAGCGTCGAGATATACTGAGATGGGAAGGGGAGAGGTTATGAATAAAGAGAATGCGAGGTGAGAGAGAGAAACATGGAGAGAGATAGGGGGAGGGAAGTGGGTGAGATACAGTAACGGGAGACGAGGAATATAGAGAGACAGGTAGAAGAGCGGACAGGAATGGATGATAGAATAGATACATAGAAAACGTTGCAAAGCGAGACATTGCAATTATACAGCACAGAGAAGGCAAGAGAAAGGTGGAGAGAGACAGGGCTCCACAAAAGATATAAAGTTTTGCTGGCTGACTGGAAGGGATGGACAGTCAACCGAGGGATCTGCAGCAGTTTCACAGATCGCTTCCCACGTCTTTGCGGGGTACCATTGGTCTGCGGATCGCAGGTTGGAAAGTGCTCCTCTACGAGCGTCTCGAGACCATCGTCTAGTGTATGGGTGGACAAACCTATGACAGACCAAGTTTTTCGCACAGCGTGGGAGACGTACATTATTCTTTGGCACTGCGATACCAGCATGTTCTGCGTTATGCCCCCTCGATAGCGCCGCATGTGGTGGATCAAAGGGCCGCATGCGGCCCGGGAGATGGCAGTTGGTCACGCGCTGGTCTAGTGGAAGCCCTCCCACCAGCAGCGGTGTGAGAGCGAGCAACCGCAGGGCCGCACCTTTTACACGCCGTTTTTCCCGCGCTGACTTGGCGGCCCGTGTGTGCGGTATGCCCCCGTGCGTTGGCCGCAGTGCGTCGTGTTCAACTGCTCCGACGGGCTGGACTACAGGGCCATGGGCAAGTTCTTCAAGGGGCTGGCACAGTGCGGAGCGTGGGCGTGCTTCGACGAGTTCAACCGCATCGAGCTGGAGGTGCGTGCCCCCCTGCCTCCCTCTCCCCGCAGGGCCCATTAACCCGGCCCCGATTACTCGCTCCCACGCCCAGTGAGGAGGTCCTTTGCTAAGGCGATTATCAGGGAGCTATGAATGCATTCACGGACTGGGGTGGTATTAATTGGTTAGCTTCGCGAGCTATCGGTGGCGCGCGTGCACGCGAAGATAAACGGCCGGCGATTGCAGAATAAATGCGGGAGAGATGAAAGCGGTTGTGTAGGTAAAATGAATAAAAATTCAACTCATTCTTCAATAATACTGTGGCCTTAAGACGGAAATATATAACCGGCGACGTTTCAGACAATGCCCCTTCTCTTTAATAGCACATAAATGTGCGATATCCTGACACATTTCCTTTTATGTTTATTTATTTATTTAAGTTTCTCGCAGCATTATAGATTCACTAGCCTTTTGCCCGTCCAAGGACGGATATATTTCAGCAAATCTGAAACTTGCAAGCGAAAATCAGACTGCGACGTGATATTGATATTGCATCAATCAGTTCGTGTGCAATTTGTAAGGCCGCGATGACACAGACTTATTTCATTTAAAGGTTAAAATCCCTTGTTCATCATGACCTCCTATTTACTTCTATGTCTCAACAACAGCGTTACGGAGATCGCGTGATGCCGTGAGGGTTCTGCCTTTGTAGTGAGGGTTGTGAGTTGACGCCGAGGAGGGGGGAGGAGGCGCCTCGCCCCCCCCCCCCCCCCCCCCATGTGGAGTGACGTCAGCCACTAATTATTATTAATGAGGGGGGGGGGTCCATGTCGAGGACGGAACCTGTTCATGATTATTAATGAGGGGGGGGGGCTGGTCGACGTGGAGTGACGTCACGTGCAGGACACACAGACACACTCTGGGCTCATCGTAGTAAATTTGTTGTGTTATTTTAATTGTTGAGTGTGCACTGTTGCCAATTCGGCATTACCGAACGATGCATTTGCATGCGCATCTCCGAGCAATTATTTAACAAAACTAAAAATAACAAACTTTTAGAAATATTCTTCAGCGCCAAAAAATATAAATGTGACGTAAATAATTGGCTCCAAAGGTCGCGTACCTTGCGTAATGAGTTTCAACAAGCTGTAAAGCATGTTGTCACTGCAATAATGGGTTTAGTGTTTTTCATTTAAAAAAAAAATTGCTACGGTGAAATAAACTTAAACTTGCTCCCGTAATTTAACGGTGAACACATTACCTTGCGTGAATAAGAAGTTGCGCGCGCATTGTCAGCAGTTTTGTGTGTGTGTGTGCGCTAAACTGATTAAATAGCTAAATGTTTTGTGATAAATGATTTTGAAGTTCCCCTCATGCTCACACTCGAGCAAGCATACTGCTTGGCTAAGGAATATATATATGTTGCTCATAAATCACTTAAAATCCACACCTGCCATCTCGCTGGCCCCTTTCTGTACCGGAGGTGCTGTCATTGTTGCTCCAGAGTCTGCGGCTTGCGCGAATGTACTTGATTCGCGCAAGTGATATTGGAGTCATCAAAACGCAATTCATTTCTCTTTTTTTTTTGGTGAGAAAAATTGCTTTTTTTGTGTGTGTGTGTGTGAGATTTTTGTGAGCGCTGTCGTGCGCCGGTTGCGATTCATCTGAATTGCGGCGAAGCGCGGCGACGTGGCTGCCGAGAAGCTCGCAAACACCGAGCCCGGTAGCACTGCCTTCCCGTTCCGATAGCAGCCGCCCATCATGAAACCCGGGTGTCAGATGTACCACGTTGTTGTACTGCGTTGTACCGCGTTGTTATACCGCATCATACTGTGTTGCTGTACCGAGTTGCACCGCGTTGTACCGCGTTGTACCGAGTCGCACCAAGTTGTACCGAGTTGCACCGCGTTGTGCCGAGTTGCACCAAGTTGTAGCGAATTGCACCAAGTTGTAGCGAGTTGCACTGCGTGTTGCACCGCGTTGTAGCGAGTTGCACCACGTTGTAGCGAGTTGTACCGCGTTGTAGCGAGTTGTACCGAGTCTCAGCCGCATCTCCTTTGACTGATTGGGGTGCCACAGTGACGAGATGTTGACTACCTCGCCTGATGTACAGGAGGTCGTGGGTTCGATCCCGACCCTAACACCTGCTGTATATTTGGAGTTTGCATGTGTCTCTCCCTGTGGTCGCGTCGATTTTTCTCTGGGTCCTCCGGTTTTCCCCTCCACATTTATAAACATGAATATGAGTTTTGGAGTGTTTGGCTGCTATACATTTCCACATGATGAACTACTTCGTTGAGCTATCATTTGTGGTCAGGTCGCTTCTGAAAAAGAGCTATGGAGCTCCGTGGGCCTTACCTGGTAAAGAAAAACATAGTTTAGATTAATAGTGTTTTAGATTGTTCTAAGATGAACTATGTTTGTTTACGTGATTGCTTTGTCACTTATTTCAGAAAAGTTTTACCTCTGTGGATTAAAATGTTTTAGTTTCATTTCCATCTTAGCAACTCTTTTTTTGTGCAGGACGTAAACAATGTTGTACCCTCTGATGTATGCGTGAGATTAGTGGATCGGTAGCCTATTGAAGTGCCCTTCGAATTAGTTACATTCTTATTTTCCCGTGGTCTTTCCCAGGGCGAGGTGATGCTCCATTTGCTGTGAGTGTTTTAATTGAAACAAGTCTTTGCCTCTTAACTCAGTGCCTCGAGGCGAAGGAAGAACAAAGCTGGATTAAGCACGCTGATTCTAGGGTGAGGCTATCGAATACGAGGATTCAAATTAATAACTACTGAAAACTATACAGTGAGGGAAAAAAGTATTTCATCCCCTGCTGATTTTGTACGTTTGCCCACTGACAAAGAAATGATCAGTCTATAATTTTAATGGTAGGTTTATTTGAACAGTGAGAGACAGAATAACAACAACAAAATCCAGAAAAAACGCATGTCAAAAATGTTATAAATTGATTTGCATTTTAATGAGGGAAATACGTATTTGACCCCTCTCAATCAGAATGATTTCTGGCTCCCAGGTGTCTTTTATACAGGTAATGAGCTGAGATTAGGAGCACACTCTTAAAGGAAGTGCTCCTAATCTCAGCTTGTTACCTGTATAAAAGACACCTGTCCACAGAAGCAATCAATCAATCAGATTCCAAACTCTCCACCATGGCCAAGACCAAAGAGCTCTCCAAGGATGTCAGGGACAAGATTGTAGACCTACTCAAGGCTGGAATGGGCTACAACACCATTGCCAAGCAGCTTGGTGAGAAGGTGACAACAGTTGGTGCGATTATTCGCGAATGTAAGAAACACAAAAGAACTGTCAATCTCCCTCGGCCTGGGGCTCCATGCAAGATCTCACCTCGTGGAGTTGCAATGATCATGATAACGGTGAGGAATCAGCCCAGAACTACACGGGAGAATCTTGTCAATGATCTCAAGGTAGCTGAGACCATAGTCACCAAGAAAACAATTGGTAACACACTACGCCGTGAAGGACTGAAATCCTGTAGCACCCGCAAGGTCCCCCTGCTCAAGAAAGCACATATACATGCCCGTCTGAAGTTTGCCAATGAACATCTGAATGATTCAGAGGACAACTGGGTGAAAGTGTTGTGGTCAGATGAGACCAAAATGGAGCTCTTTGGCATCAACTCAACTCGCCGTGTTTGGAGGAGGAGGAATGCTGCCTATGACACCAAGAACACCATCCCCACCGTCAAACATGAAGGTGGAAACATTATGCTTTGGGGGTGTTTTTCTGCTAAGGGGACAGGACAACTTCACCGCATCAAAGGGACGATGGACGGGGCCATGTACCGTCAAATCTTGGGTGAGAACCTCCTTCCCTCAGCCAGGGCATTGAAAATGGGTCGTGGATGGGTATTCCAGCGTGACAATGACCCAAAACACACGGCCAAGGCAACAAAGGAGTGGCTCAAGAAGAAGCACATTAAGGTCCTGGAGTGGCCTAGCCAGTCTCCAGACCCTAACCCCATAGAAAATCTGTGGAGGGAGCTGAAGGTTCGAGTTGCCAAACGTCAGCCTTGAAACCTTCATGACTTGGAGAAGATCTGCAAAGAGGAGTGGGACAAAATCCCTCCTGAGATGTGTGCAAACCTGGTGGCCAACTACAAGAAACGTCTGGCCTCTGTGATTGTCAACAATGGTTTTGCCACCAAGTACTAAGTCATGTTTTGCAGAGGGTTCAAATACTTATTTCCCTCATTAAAATGCAAATCAATTCATAACATTTTTGACATGCGTTTTTCTGGATTTTTGTTGTTGTTATTCTGTCTCTCACTGTTCAAATAAACCTACCATTAAAATTATAGACTGATCCTTTCTTTGTCAGTGGGCAAACGTACAAAATCAGCAGGGGATGAAATACTTTTTTCCCTCACTGTACCTTTACTTTCAGCTAATGCAATCATTCACAGTTTGATTCAGAAGCTAAGTTAGTACTCATAGATGTGTTTTTATTACTAATGTTGCGGGTTTTTTTGACGAACAGAATACTGATCAATCATGCTGGCGATTTGCCAAATGAACTGCTCAGGACAAAGTGACCCATGGCATGTTCATAATGATAAACAGATTTTGGGTTTATAAGTATAAAAAAAATCACGATTGCCTCCTTGCAGAACAGGCCCTTGGCACGTACAGTGCTCGTTAGTTTACAGCTGAGCTAGATTTTACAAGGGCTTTGGCGCAGGGCCATACATGTTGACCTCAAGGTAACCTTTCTGAAAACTAATTTGATGTCTCTGCAAAAAGGATTAATAAGACCCCTGCATCTATTCCTTGAAATTCCTGTTGGCTCAAGGAGTAAGGAGGTGAAAGAGGACTTAATGTGCATAATGTGGCAGATTATGAAAAAAAGAATGTTAAGCTACGGAGTTGTGGAACCCTACACGACAGAAAGGCGGTTTCATGTGATGTGGTCAATTTCTCGATACAACTCCCAAGGATAGCTTGTGTGTGCCAACACGTGAATGAGGCCCATTATGTTTTGGGCATAGTGGTCCTTAATGGATT